GGGAGGGAGGGAGGGAGAGGGAGAGGGAGAGTTCTGAAGAAGCTGTGAATGACCATTACCACAAGGGTCACAAACACAACACATACCCATGCCCTGCATCATGCGCAGTTTAGCCTCTGTGGCCAACTGTCTCTGTGCCAGGGTCTCGGCTGAGGGCGTGGTGGGTCGGAGGCCGGGCGGGGGCTGTGGGAACAGGAGGCTGCCATACATGTCCTCTATGCCGTCCAGGTACGCGCTGCAGAAGCGGCCACGTAGGGAGGACAACCCTGAGGATCACAAACGGACATATTTGGATTACGGTGGCGCACATCGACACAATAACAAGAAAAGCATATCAACACACAACAGCAAGAGAAGCAGCTGTACCAGTGTTTATTACTAACATTCATACAGTATTATTTTGAGAATGTTTTCATAGGTAATTTACAACATAAATAAATTTTCTTTTTTTTATAAAAATAATACAATAGTATTGAAATTCACAAATCAGTAGACAAAACCGGATTTAACAATCTGACAAAAAAGTCAGCAATTTCAAGAGGCACCCCTGCACTTCAACCCCACATCTATCTCCCAGCCATCTTTCTGTCAAAGCCAGCTGACCTGTGAGAGATGTGGCCCCCTTGACCGGCAGGATGGACATGCTGGTGGCTATGATGGGCTCCTGTAGCGGGATGGGCGGCATGTTGTGCAGCTGTTGCAGCAAGTTCTCCGCCTGAGCCTCCAGCTCCTTCAGCTGATTCTCCTTCATCTGTTGGTCAAATCATTGGAAACATTTTACATCCCTATTGACACAAGTTGTGTAATTTGAAAGGAATTAATTTCTTTAAAGTTTTAAGTAAAAGTTTTAAGGCAGTTGCAACATAATTAGGTTATACAAGTGCCAAAGATTAGGTGTTACAAGAGAGAAGAATACAAAAGATAAGAAGGAGGAGAGTAGGATGACAGATGTTTGGTAGAAATGAAGGAGCAAACTTAGTCACAACTCTGTTTGAGCGATGGTTGCTCAGTTGAGCATTTACAGCTAGTGCAGGAGAAAGACATAAAACATAAACTTTTCAGTACAGTCATTGTTCCAAGACCATGTCAAGAGAAAGGACACTTGAGAGCAAATACAGATCAAATAAATGGTTTGACACTTTTCAAGAACAAAAAAAAAAACAATTCTTTACAACGGATCAATTTCTACATACAGTTGCTGCTCCCTGTCCCAAATTTTTAATACAACCTGCCCATCAGTGGAAAGCCTGTGATCATTATCTGCCACCCTTCAAGCTTGAAGTACAAGACACCGCTAGTTCAGTCTCACAGTTCCTGTGACAAATAAAACATTCTGTTCCCCGAAACTACCGATGTACTTCACAGCCCTCCCTACCTTAGCCTTTTTGCTCCTCTTTTTGGGAGTCTCCACGCCCACTTCCCCAGCGACGCCAGCTGTAGTCCCAGCGGCAGCCGCAGCAGCAGCACCAGCAGTCCCAGCAGCACCAGCGCCCGGACCAGCACCAGTGCCGGCTTTCGTCTTGCGTTTCTTCTTAGCCAGTGTGCCGCCAGTGCCGGCCACACCTTTGCGCTTGATCTTGCGCGAGGCCTCATACTGCTGCCTCTTCTGCTCATACTCCTGGCGACGCATCTCTGCAACAGGAAACAAAAGTAAACATTCATGCTCAACGTTCAGCTGTCTGAGAAAAAGATGAACTTTATGTTCTTTTTAAGTTTCTGTTTATGTTTAGTTTTAGTAGTACAGGGTTTTACGGCGCTCGCAACTGCATAAGGTCATAGGAGCGCGCGAAACACAAGTTGGTAGCATTCGCAACAGTAAAGTTCACAGCACGGTTGGTCGACTGTTTGTTTGACAAAAAAAAAAAGTACGGCGACACAAGAAAGGCCATTATGAGCAGGAAAAATGCACGACATACACAAAGAGACAACAGAGGTAAAGAAAAGAAGAACCTACTTACACTCATTTACCAAAAATGAGACACTCCAACACAATGGTCCTTTTGTTTGAGTTATAAGTTGAATTTGACAAAATAACAACCATTCAATGCCAGGATTTAAAAAAACCCAGAAACACTATGGGCAAAATAAAGTAGAGAAGAAAATATTTTCCAGCAAAAACACAAACTTTTACAGAAAAGTCACTCCACACATATTTCAACCTCCTTGATTATGTGATATCATGTAAATAAAAAAACTCTCTTTCTTTGGGCCTGTTTTAACTCTGTTGGTCATCGAACTTTACGACCCACATGCAAAGGTCTGAGAAAATCAAAGCAAGTGATTTGTTTTTATCTTATTTCAACAGCCGACAGATGAAAGGGAACAAACTATAGTATAGGTTGAACCCCCGTTTTCCCCTCAGATACTATATGACCAATCTATGTGAACAAAGAGCTATAAAACCTCCCTCATGGTATTAAGTCAGTTAATTAGTAGTATAGGGTTTTACGGCGCTCGCAACTGCATAAGGTCATATGAGCGCGTGAAACGCAAGTTGTTTACATTCGCAAAAGTTCACTGCACGGTTGGTTTACTATTAGACTTTAAAATGTTAAAATATTAAAATTTCGGTGTAAATATATTTTCATTTAAAACAGCTCTTATAAATAACAATAAAAATTGTAAACAGTACGATTTCACTTTACAATTTGCCATAAAGGCCAATGGCCTTCATAAAATTCAAAATTCTGCTGGGACCAACGACGGAAAAAATGTCTTGTAATTTCTTGTATTTATAAAATTTCCTTCGGATCTCTCCAAAGTCTAGACACTCGGTTAAAATGATGGTATTAAGTCATGAATACCCCATTCAGAATCAAAACTTCAGCCACCCACATGATACCAACTAAGCTAGTGGTGCTCCCGAGCTAAACGTTACAAAACCTCACAAGCCGGGATAGAAACCTTGTACTCACCGCAGCCTTCCTTACCTAGAATCTTCTCTTTTTCCTCTGGCGTCTTACTCTCCCACTCCGGTGTCGAGATCTCCGTCTCTTTGCACAACGGCATTGAGTCGATCATCTCCAGCTGCCTCTGTTGATCAGGGGTCAAGGCTGGCAGACTGTCTTCGCTCTGAAAATGTTCATGCGACATTTACTTACTAAAATTAATATTCCCTGAACCGATCTCTTCACTATCTGAGATGAGATATATTTTTTGTTTGAGCTAAGGGAAAAGTAAAGTAAAGTAAAAGTTTGAGCTAAGGGAAACCCATTAACAAAATAAAGGTCAGATGGTGCTGGGCAAAAAATAAGCACCAGATAGACAGAACAGGGGGAAAGAAAAGAAGTAGGATCTACCTGTGGCACCCTCCAACCAACCACATTCAGATAAAAATACTAGTAACAACAGTAAGACCATATTTGTTAGTTTGAGTAAAGAAAAGCGCATCTACACAATAAAAGCTATCAAGGGCTAAGAAAAAACAAGGCTGCAAGACAGAAACAACAGAGGGCGAATAACAAAACAGAAGCTACCAGTCCAGCCCTCCAACCATCCACTAACACAGACATCCGGAAACAAAAGACAGACATAGAATCAGTAGCACAATCTACTGATTATCTTAACTCTGTTCAAATGAACATTTGCTCTCCCTGGAAAAACAAAGACGGCAGAAGAAGTAGAGACAAAGCACAATTACTCTTCATTGAGAACTGAGCACATGGGCGACTGGGAAGGCGGGCCACGAAAACATACTTTTTTTGTTGAAGAATCCTGGCAAAACAATTTCCACAATTGCAGAGGTCTACAAATCTAAATTTAGATGAATAAGAAGTGTTCAAATGGGCACTGCACCCACATCACACCATACCGCAACCTCAGTGCTTTCTTGTCGAGTCTCCATTTTTAATAACAGTGAAAATAGTTCATAACAAAGAGTAAGCTTAAGAAGAAGTCCCAATTTCACTGTTTTAAAAAAATGGAGATACGACAAGAAAGCATTGAGGTCGCAATACTATCATCCACAAGACCATCTAACCAAGTTCTGATCATTTTCAGGTACCAGAAGCCCCAGATTGCCCCAGTCCTGGACTCAAGAATCGGGTCAGGCCACTGCTCACATGACCCCAACAACCATATTGCCAGCACACTTATAATCTTCTGTAAAACTTGCAACAGACTTAGATTCTATCCACATTGTCATGACAACTCACGTCAGGAGTCGGGAGCTGACGTCCTGCAGTGCCCAGCAGCTGTTTGAGGAGTTCATTGTGGCTCGCCTTCTGGTCCAGGTCAAGGTCATCTCGATTGATGGAGCCATCTGGTTGGATGAGAGAGAGTCGAGTATTGACAACAGCGACAATTGCAAAAATTACATTATTATTGTGACCAAATGACAATATCAAATATCATATCATTATCGTGACTATTTAACAATAGCGACAATGGCAATTATATTATTATTATCATGACAAAGTTAATAAAGGTGATAACGGCAAATATATTATTATTATCATGACAAAGTTAATAAAGGTGATAACGGCAAATATATTATTATTATCATGACAAAGTTAATAAAGGTGATAACGGCAAATATTATATTATTATTTTTGTGATCAAAGACAATTAAATTTTACTGTCAAGACAAATCAAAACATATTTTAAAAAATGGGGTTTTTTTAAAACAAAACAAACAAACAGAACTATTGTGCCCACCTGCAGATGTAGAGTCCTCACTGGGCTCCAGCTTCACTTGTCCTGGCACTCCCATTCCTGCGTCGGACATGGGAGAGGTCAGGCCGGGTGTGGAGGCGAGAGAGCCTGCATCGCTGGAGGCCGAGTGCTGCAGGGGTGTGTGGCCTGGCATGAAGCCTCCATCTCCTGGCATCATGCCGCCTGGACCAAACATGGGCGGCCTGAAAAACGAAAATTTGAGCCTTTTCTTGAGAAAATGTTTGTCACGAATTTGGTTCCATTTCATTTGATACCAACATCACAGAAAGTTTTTTGTTCTATTTGGTGAGACCCCCCCTAGCCCAATGAAGACAAAGCCCAGAAGAATAGGCAAGTGAGCAAACTTGGTCAAAAGGGTCTTTCCATTTGGACACCGTCAGTGAATGCAGGATCACAAAGAATGTCCTACAATGTTTAAAAAGACAGCAAAGGTTTTACGCTTAGTTTTGAGTGTAACTTTAAGAGGAAGTGGAAAGTAAGCAAGACATGATACTCCTAGTTCAAAAGGAAAGGTACGCTCGTGTATGAAATCTTGATTCCTACAAAAAGTATGACTTACCTCTGCTGCTTGGGCTTTCCACCCATCGCCATGCTGGGGTCTGGAGGCATCCCTGGCTGACCCATCCCACTACTGACCGCTGCCATGGCACCCACAAAGTTCTTGTCGTCCGGCATGCCGTCCAGGTGCCTCAGTGGCTGCGTCTGCTGCATCACCGGCGACATCTGGGGCGACATGTGGTGTGGGGACATCTGTGGGGAGGACATCTGTGACGAGGGCTGGGGGCCGGGGGGAGCCATGCCCCTCATCATCATGTGCCGGAAGTGGGGGCCCATGTGGGGGCCCGGGGGCCCTCCCTCGCCCGACGCGGCCATCATACGGAGGCGGGCCGCCATGCGAGCTTCACCGCCAGCACCCATCATCTGAGGGAACATGGGCGGCCTCTGGTGGTGAGGGGGTCCCCCGGGCATAGGGGATCCCATGGAGGTGTTGATGCCCGGGTGACCGGGAGGGTGGAAGTTTGCTAGCGAGGCTAAGGGCCCGCCACCTCCCGCTGGTCCACTCATAGAGGTTTGCGGGTGAGGCGGGGGTCCTCCCTGCATCATAGGGTGGTGTGGGCTCATCATGGGTGGTCGCTGCATGCCGTGTGGCGAGGTTTGCTGCATGCCGTGTGGCGGAGTTTGCATGCCGTGAGGCGACGTCTGCATGCCGTGAGGTGACTGCGGCATACCGTGGGGCGACGGGGTCATGGCGTGTGAGGTCATCGGCATTCCCATCGACGTTTGCGGCATCTCCGACATGCCTGGGTGTGTGGGGGACATGAACTGATGCGGAGGCATCCGGGGTCGCATCCCAGCATGCTCTGGTCCCATCATTTCAGGGGGCATGGGGGGTCGGTGCTGGGGATGCGGGGGCATTCCCCGGGGTGGGCGTGGCATCCTGCCCATCTCTCCGGCCCCCATGGCAAAATGCGGGGGTCTCTGCCGGTGCATGCCTGTCGGGGACATGGGGTGGGGGGACATACCATACGGTGGTCCCCCACCCATCTCGTGGTGCATGCGGGGTGCAAACCGCGGGCCTCCTGGCATGAAAGGCTGAGCCTGACTGGTGCCCGGCATGTAGCCCTGTGGAGACTGAGGCGGCCCGGGCTTCTGAGGCATGGCAGGACCCATGGCACCTGTATAGATGATGATGTGTTAAGACGATTTATAACAATATTCACCTTTACTTTTAATAGCAAGATCAAAGGGGAAGGGGGAGGGGGGGAGGGTTAAAATACAGAAAAACACAAAAATTAAGGAATAACAAAAGGAGCCGGCAAAAAACTAAACAATGAACGAGACCAAGAAATGGAGAAAAAAATCAACAAAAAAAGGATTACTCTGTCAATCCTTCGCTTGAAAGAAAGAAAACGTAAGCCTTTGCTGAAAAACTTCAGTCTCATCTCAATTTTCTGGCCTTCCCTTTCGAAAAATGTTTGTCATGCATTTTGCTCATTTCATTTTATAACAACAGCACACATGGCCCTTTGTTCTATTTGATGAGACCTCTTACCACATGAAGCTAAAACCTAGAAAATTAGGCAAATAAGCAAACTCTGTCAAGACAGCCTATCCAGTGAACAAATAGGTTCACAAAGATCACCAAGCAATGTCCAAAGAAGGATTAATGACTTTTATTTTTAGTTTGAGTAAAGAGAGAATGAATAACACAATAGCTGTCATTATTACAGGCAAGGAAAACGTGAGAAAGAAAAATCAGATGGAAAGGAAAAGAAGTAGAGTGCACTAGTGTCACCATCCAATCATCCACAGCATTTAGATGTTTGGACATTTGTTTCCTTAACCAACAGTTATATACATTAAATATTTATCTTCATTAACAGACTTCACTAAACAGAGCAACAAGTCTTCTTCTTTCTTTTTCCCCTCACCTGGATAGGACTGAAGCGGGGAGCTGTGCAGGGGGCTGTGCTCCGTGGAGCGGGAGGGTGAGCGGTCCGTCAGGTACCCCGGGTGCTGTTCTTGCACGGCGGCCGCAGCGTGACTGGACGTGGGTATGGCTGTCCCGGCTGAGGACAGGGCGGACTGTGACGCCTGGGCCAAGAGGTCGAGCGGGGGCCGAGACATGCGGTAAGGAGACTGGTGGGGAGGGTAACCGCCCTGGGAGGGGAAAGGGAGGTTCACAAAATGCAAAGGTCAGTATCTGTTGTAAAACCATTGTACATCCCCCTCAACACAACTTCAGATAATGTATTCAAGAAAGCAGCTTCAAGCCTTCTCGTCAGGGCCAATCAGGACAGAGTGTTGTCATACAGTATCTCCAGCAGACAGAGATACTTAACTCAGGAATCAAACTCGAGTCTTTTGCACGCAATGGCAAAGAACTGAACAGCTACATCACCACAGATGCCAATGGTTTCATCTCAGATTGAGTATTGTGTCTCGTGAAGCAAATATAAAGGCTTCTTCAGAAAGAGGAGGTCTAGAAAATAACTTGTCTGAAAAACTATATTGGCTAGAAAGATTTCTAAATATTTTGAGGAAACAATCGTGGACAGAAAACCTACCTGTTGAGCCTGTGACATATACATGTGCCCAGCTTGCTGCTGGTGCTGCTGTTGTTGTTGTTGCTGCTGCTGCTGCTGCTGTTGTTGTTGTTGTTGTTGCTGCTGCTGATGTTGTTGTTGCATCTGTTGATGCTGCCGTTGTTGCTGAGGCGTCATCGCTCTCATCATCTGTTGCTGTTGCTGCTGTTGTTGTGGGTGTTGCGGCATTTGTTGCATCTGCTGCTGCTGCTGTGGGGGCATCGGCTGTTGAGGATGCTGCTGCTGCTGCTGCTGTCCCATCATACCCGGCATCGGGCCCGAGTAGAAGCTGGCAGAGTAGCCTGTCCCTAGCTCCTGGCTCGACATGGCACTGGGAGCGCTGGAGACAGGCATGGAGGAGCCCACAGTGGAGAACGGCGAGGAAGACGCAGACGAGGGCGCTGTGGGCAGACTGTGACTCTCCTGGGAGGAGCTCGGGGTGGCGGGGGGCTCCGGGTCGATTCCAGGCTCGTACGTCGACTCCCCCGAGGCAACGGCATCGATGGTCGACTGAAGCCTTTCCAGGGCTTGGATGTCCGTAGTGTACGACTTCACCTGGAGGGGGGATATAGTTTGATAGATTGTTTGAGGAAAGAGAAGCAAAGGGACACGATAATTAATGGTCATCTAGTCTTTTAGTTTAGTTTTAGTAGAGGTTTTACGGCGCTCGCTACTGCATAAGGTCATATGAGCGCCAGAAGATTAGAGGTGTTACAAGAGAGGAACAAACATAAAAAGAAGAAGGGGAGATAAGGACAATATATGTTTGATAGGAAAGAAGAAACAAACCACACCAGAGCACCCGCCAACCACCCACTAGTGCAGGGAAAAGAAAGAAACATAAAGAGAAAGAAAAGGAGGAGCACCAATGGGTGGCACCCTCCGACCACCCACGGAGTGAACTAAAAGCTATTAATTAAGTGTTCCCAAAATTCCAGACAGACAGTGTTAGTCTAAGAGAGATTTTTACGGCACTTGTTACACAGACAGAAATAAACAAAGGGAAAAGACAGGCAGTTGAACCTACGAGTAGTGTTCTCCAACCACCCACAGAACAACTGTGATTATTATAAGGACCTACTTTAAACACACCCCCCCCCCCCCCCCCCCAGTCAGACATTCAAAAAAGGAGAAATCTCCACTCAACTATCGTCATGGAAAAGTGACAGGAATAACACGTACACAGAAACGGCTGTGGAATCTCACAGTGCCTCACACTAAAAGAAAACTATGTCCAATGAAACTAGGAGGAAACAAGTCAAAGAGAATTATGGTCTGAAAAAAACAATTAAAACAGAGAGAAAACAAACACCAGGCTGAAATAATGTTAGACAAAGGAATGTATAGAGTACAGTACAATATCATTTGCACTGAAAACTGAAACAAAATTTTTCTAAATATGTTTGGAGTTAAAGTGCATATTATTATGTTCTTTAGTCCTACCAACACAATTTATCGGACCAGATTTATTGTGGGGCTATCCTAAATAATAAACCAACTAGCTCCCCTGAATTATTTGCCAAAACAAGGACCCAAATCTAATTTTCCGTATCCAATGGGGGAAAGTTAAGATCTCTAACATGACAGATTATGGTGTAAATAATACATATATAAAAGAGAAATGTATTATAAAATACAAGTCTGCCACCTACTTAAGTGCACTCAGTCCAAAATTTTGAAAATATTTTTTTTTTTTTTTTTAGAGTTTCTAAATAATTTTTTTTTTTGGGTAAGAGTTTCATAATCTGTGGTTATTTTTATGTCTAAATTCAAATTCAAAATGTTTAAAAAAAAGCAAGAAAAATATGAAATGTAGAAGTAATTTGTTAAAAGAATTAAATGGGTTTCTTTTCTCTTCCAAAAATTTTGTTTTATGGGCCATGTACATTTTAATAGCTTGCTGACGAAAAATAATCTGCAAAAGACGTCAGAATACCTTTTTGGTGCCTTCAGATTTACTGTGGGGGCCAGGACTGGGCTTGGAGGTCGGTGTGCCAGACTTCTCCCTGGCCAATGTGGGCGGGGTCGACCTCGCACTGACCGCGGGGACCGGGGAAGGCACGACCGCTGGGGCGGCTGAACTCACGGTGTCCCCGGTCATCATGGCCGCAGGTGGAAAAGAGGGGAGGCCCATGCCTGGATACATCCCCACGGGCGGGACAGAGTGAGGCACAGGGTGGGTCATTGACGGGGCTTGCGCTGACGTAGCCGGTGGTCGCTGCTGCTGTCTTTGTGGTAGTGCCGGCGGCCCTGTTGTCATTGATGATGGGGTCGGGGTGGAGACGACAAATGGAGGAGGTGGGGGCGCGGACTGAGGGTTCGTGGTCCTCACAGCCTGAACACCACTGGTGGGCATCATGCTGTTTGGCGTGTCCACGCTAGACGCTGTCGCCAATACTGACGTGTGAGACGAGGCAGTAACCGTTGGAGGTGCTGTCGACACCACTTGAGGGGGTTGAGGTTGAGGTGGTGGAGGGGGAGGGGGAGCTCTGGTTTCCGGCTCCGATTTTGACACAGGGGGGTCTATATCTGCCACCGGGGTGGATCGTTTCGATTTCTCTCGGAAGGACGGCCCAGATATGAGCTCGGCTGTACCATCTGAAGATTTGCGCAGCACCAGCTTGAGAGAGTCACCTTCCGCCTTACTTCTGGGTGGAGCTTGGTACTCAGACGAGCGGTAGTACTCACGGCTCGACTGCACGCTGCTGCTCTCGTACACCTGGGGCTGCGACTGAGGGTCCATGCGGATTCGCAGAGGAGGGATGACCATACGCTCAGTGGGTGGCCTTGAGGAAGGGGCGGGATTTCCACTGGATGATGACGATGACGATGACGATGATGCAGCAGAACTGACCACTGTGGCTGACGAGGGTATAGGGGTCGCCTCCACACTTGATGTCTGAGCTGATGATGATGATGAAGGTTGAGAAGTTGTGGTGTCAGTCACTTGTGAACTTGAAGAGGCGGGAACAGACTGAGCCGTTTTAGCAGTCTGAATTGTCATTGTAGTCGGGCTTGGAACAGCTGTAGACTCCAATGACACGGACCGGACTTGAGATGTTTGAGATGTCGATGCTAAAGAGGGCTGCGGGACAACTGTTGTAGGTGAGGATGAAGATGATGACGATAAATTAACTGATGATGAAACAGAAAATGATGAAGAAGTAGTTGAGGCTGTGCCAGGGGGCGACGTCGACGAACACACCACAGGTGAGTCAGAGACGGCAGGAAAAGTTCCCACCACAGGGGACACCACCGGCTGACCTTGACCTACTGACGATGGTGTACCTGTGACAGTGGAAGACACTGACCGACTAGTGGCGGAACTTATGACTAGAGATGGCGCTGGCGCTGGCGCACTCAGCGACACCGGGGACGACCGGATGATTGTCTTGAGAGGCTGTTCTGTGGCGGAGTCCGAGGTCTTCTGCACCCCAGCCGCTGGCACGGGATCCAACACCGGGGAGGTACGCTTGCTGCCCAAAGTGTCCGCTTTGCCCGAAGGTTCAGCTCCTACAGATGTACTAGTGTGAGAGACAGGTGGAGTAACACTGGGTGTGACAACGGAAGTCTTTTGTCCCATGTCAGAAGATGAAGATGACGATGCTGCTGTTGATGATGACAATGACGATGATGAAGCTGCTGCTGCTAATGCGACAGGGGTTTCTGATGTTCCACTCGATGTCGAAGGAGCTGAAAATGCTGCGACAGGTGTGCTGTCTACTGCTGCAGATGGGGCCAATTTCAAACTAGCAGACGTCTCGGATGAGTCTGAAGATGAGAAAGCTATGGCTGACAGCGTGTCGGAGGGGCGGATGGTCGCAGAGAGGGGTTCCGACTCGTCTTTATGGATCTGGGGCTTGAAGTTGGCCAGGGAATGTGAAACAGCTGCCAGTTGTGAGGATATCTGGTCGTCGATGGTGGGGACCAGACCGATCCCAGCGGAGGGAACCACAGGGACAGGGGGAAGCTCTGCCGGGGCACCCACTCCAGACGTAGGAGTCCCAGTGCTGTTCACAATCAAACTGCTCGAGCCACCAGAGTTTGTGCTTGCTGCTGTCAATGGCAACCCTGCCGGAATCGTTGACGGTGATGACGATGCAACTGATGATGACACAACTGCTGGGCAATCCGTTTCCATGTCCTCCTCAGCCCGATCATTACAGTTCTGAGAAACAGGCTGGGAGGGAGTAACTGATGATGATGATAATGACGACGACGATGATTTCAGTTCCTGGGTATTGGACGTGCCAGCAGAAGATTCAGTAGACGCTGAGGCACTGTTGCTGAAAACAGCAGAATTGGAAGCAGTGCCGTCTGGGACGGTAGATGGAGTTGACATTTCCACTTTAGACTTGGACGATGATACTTCTGCGTTATCCTCATCATCCGTTCCACAGTGCATGCCGTCCTCACAAACATTTTTCTTTCCTTTTCCTTTATCATCATCTTCATCATCAGTACCACAGTGAATGCCATCATCACACACTTTCTTCTTCTTTCCTTTATCCTCATCTTCGTCGTCGGTACCACAATGTATTCCATCTTCACAAACTTTTTTCTTTCCCTTATCCTCATCTTCATCATCAGTACCACAATGAATGCCATCATCACACACTTTTTTCTTTTCTTTTACTTTATCATCCTCTTCATCATCAGTACCACAGTGAATGCCGTCATCACACACTTTCTTCTTCTTTCCTTCATCCTCATCTTCATCATCAGTACCACAATGAATCCCATCTTCGCAAGCTTTCTTATTTCCTTTTCCTTTATCATCATCTTCATCATCAGTACCACAATGAATGCCATCATCACACACTTTTTTCTTTTCTTTTACTTTATCATCCTCTTCATCATCAGTACCACAGTGAATGCCGTCATCACACACTTTCTTCTTCTTTCCTTCATCCTCATCTTCATCATCAGTACCACAATGAATCCCATCTTCGCAAGCTTTCTTATTTCCTTTTCCTTTATCATCATCTTCATCATCAGTACCACAATGAATGCCATCATCACACACTTTCTTCTTTCCTTTATCGTCATCTTCATCATCAGTACCACAGTGAATGCCATCATCACACACTTTCTTCTTTCCTTCATCGTCTTCATCATCGGTACCACAATGAATTCCATCTTCGCAAACTTTCTTCTTTCCTTCATTGTCATCTTCATCATCGGTACCACAGTGAATGCCATCATCACACACTTTCTTCTTCTTTCCTTTATCCTCATCTTCATCATCGGTACCACAATGAATTCCATCTTCGCAAACTTTCTTCTTTCCTTCATTGTCATCTTCATCATCGGTACCACAGTGAATGCCATCATCACACACTTTCTTCTTCTTTCCTTTATCCTCATCTTCATCATCGGTGCCACAATGTATACCATCATCACACACTTTCTTCTTTCCTTTATCGTCTTCCTCATCATCGGTACCACAGTGAATGCCATCATCACACACTTTCTTCTTCTTTCCTTTATCGTCTTCTTCATCATCGGTACCACAGTGAATGCCATCATCACACACTTTCTTCTTCTTTCCTTTATCGTCATCTTCATCATCGGTGCCACAATGCATACCATCATTGCACACTTTCTTCTTTCCTTTATCGTCTTCCTCATCATCGGTACCACAGTGAATGCCATCATCACACACTTTCTTCTTCTTTCCTTTATCGTCTTCTTCATCATCGGTACCACAGTGAATGCCATCATCACACACTTTCTTCTTCTTTCCTTTATCGTCATCTTCATCATCGGTGCCACAATGTATACCATCATCACACACTTTCTTCTTTCCTTTATCGTCTTCCTCATCATCGGTACCACAGTGAATGCCATCATCACACACTTTCTTCTTCTTTCCTTTATCGTCTTCTTCATCATCGGTACCACAGTGAATGCCATCATCACACACTTTCTTCTTTCCTTTATCGTCATCCTCATCATCGGTACCACAATGGACACCGTCATCGCACACTGGCTTGCCAGATGAGCTCTCCTTGTCTTTTTTACTAGTGTCCTTTGAGCCAGAGGTACCGGCCTCCACCCCCGAAGTCATTGGAATGCTAACAGCGGAAGTACTTGGTGTCCCTGCTGAGGTTGCAGGGGTGGAAGATGACGACGATGATGATGATGATGATGATGATGAGGGTGTTGCTGCAGCTGCCGATGAGGTGTGAGCACCCGAGGCCAGGGTTTGGTCCTTTGTGTCTTGTGGAATGTTTTGCAAGGGTTTCGATGAGGAAGCAGCTGTCTTTACACCTGGCTGGGCTAGGGACAATGATGATGATGATGATGATGATGACGATAAGGGCACTGATGTTGATGAGGATAATACAGTTGTCGCAGCAACAACGCCACTGCCACCACTGCTGCCTTGAGTGGAAGGTGCGGGTGCTGGCTGACCTGCTGTCGACTGAGAGCCGTGCCCAGCTGCTGAGATCGCCTCTCCTCCTGTCAAAACAGAATCCGGAGCTCCGCTGGATGCCGGCGTGTTGCCCCCTTGACCTATGGCGGAAAGAGGTGCAAGGGCTTGTTGGACCTGAGACGGGACTCCTGGCCCAACAGGACTTTGGCCGGGGACGCTGGAGACAGGTGGCATATGGCTAAGGGGCGGGGCTTGGCTCATCTGTCCAGGCATGGGCGGAGCTATGTGTCCAGGGGGAAGAGGAGGGGGCTGGGCTCCAGCTTGACTCGACATGACCTGCCCTTGCTGCATGGAGACGGGCGGTCTGTGGGCGAGGTGCGGGGGCATTCCTCCGGAGGACACGGGCATACGCTGCTGCATCATCTGGTGGGGGGACATCATGTGAGGTCCGGCCGGCCCTGCCTCCCCGGTCTGCATCCTGGGGTCCTGTGACATGCGTGGGGGCATGCCCTGCATGTGTGATGGGTAGCTCTGGTGGCCACGGAGGTGTGGAGGTCGTCCGTGGAATGCGTGCGGGGGTGGTGGCGGGCCCTGACCCACACCGGGCGGGAACCTCTGTCTCTGCGGGTACGGGTGGAGCTGGGGGTAGCGGGGACCGCCCATGGGCATCTGCTGCGGGTCCAGGGGCATGCGCTGACCCTCCGGCGTCATACCTCCGAACTGCTGCTGCTGTTGTTGCTGCTGTTGTTGGAACTGCTGCATTCTCGCTAGGTTTTGCAGATGCTGCATGTGCTGCTGGGAAGGGAACCCCGGGGGAACCGGACCTCCGTGCTGCGGCGGCTGTCCCGAGTGCAAGGGCATCCTCTGCTGCATGTGAGGGGGCAGCGGCGGGCCCTGCTGTAAGGTCTGTGGCTGACCACCACCAGGTGCCGTTGCGGTGGTCACTGCTCGGTTGACCTCCCCAGGAGCCGACGCCATCGTTGTGCTCATGCCACTCACGGCTTGCGTGTTCTTCCCGTCCTTGTCCACGGACCCGCCACCGGCCGGCATCCCCACAGAGCTAGCAGCTGACCCACCAGGACCTGGCATTCCCATCATGCCGCCCGGCGGCTGAGAGGGGTTTCCTGTCGCTACCTGAACACCTGCACCTCCTGCAGGACCTGTATTTGCCACCGATGCCGTGGCGACACTACCTTGACCTTTGTCAGTGTCCGCCGAGGTGGACACGGGCTGGGCGCGGGCAGGGCTCCGGCTACGCGGGGATTTGCCTCCCCTGGTACTGCTAGGGCTTGGGGGATTCTGCAGCTCTTTCTGGGAGTTATTCAAAATTTCAAGAATCCTTCGTTCCGTTTCGGACTGAGGTCGAGGTAGTTCAGCTGGCTTTGTGACTGGTCCAGATGTACTGGTGCTGGTCATTGTAACAGATGATTGGTTGTTCATTTGACCTTTAAAAAAAGGGAAAAGAAAAAAAAGATACATTTCTATTTATCTTGACAAGAATATTTTTTGGAACATTAACTCAGCATCATACCAATTTATTCCGAAGCTCAAGACAGAATTTCAATTCTATTGCAGCTAAAAAGTACATCAAATATAGACATAAACTCTACATCATACCAATCTGATCCCAAGTTCAAGAAAGAATACGTTTTTCTGTGAAAGAAAGTACATTAAAAAGATATATAAATTCAATAAGTCCCTTGACAGACAAAGAAGAAAATGGCACTGGGAAGTAAGAAAAAACAAATTAAAAACCATTCGAGGTTATCCCTATCCATATGTCATGTTTTACTATCGTATTCATAACACCTGGGGAACTCTGTGCCCCCAATTTCCAAAGAGGAAATTTACTCGTTATTCTGATCCGTACGCTTTGCATAGCAGTCTGCCAAAATGACTTTTTGAGAAATACTGTGGGTGGTTGGCGGGTGCTCTGGTGTGGTTTGCTCCTTCTTTCCTATCAAACATCTATCGTCCTTATCTCCCCTTCTTCTTTTTTATGTTTGTTATTCTCTTGTAACACCTCTGATCTTCTGACGCTCATATGACCTTATGCAGTTGCGAGCGTCATAAAACCTCTACTAAAACAAAACAAACAAAGAGAAATACTGAAAGTTTCAAAGAGATCTTCGCACTGGAAGTATTCTAAACTGCGAAGAATGATCTTCGCACTAAAAGTATTCTGAAATGCGAAGAATACAACCCCTGGGGTACAAAATGACCCCAGGCATACGGATAGGGTTAAGGATCTAGAGGCCTGTACAGATAAAAACAACCAGATGCTCAATAAAGAAAACCTTGAGAGCACAAACAAGAAAAACTTTCTATACATTTTTCAAGAGAATTAAAAAGAACCTCCATGCGTTACAACAACTGGAATAGTGAAATGTTTTAAATTTCCCATCAGCATGAATGCAAGTTACGCGAGTAAGAAAAGAATACACCATGGTCTAAATTCCACAAATATCAGGAACGTGGACACTCAAACACACACACACACACACACACACAAACACACTCATAAAAACAGTCATTTGAGAGCAAAGACTCACCCAGCATGGCTTGGTTTGGCAGCGACGGTGGCAGTGGCTGGGACTGTGCACCTTCCAACTCATCCGCTTTCTTTTTCTTCTTCCGCTTTTTCTTCTCTTTGGTGGCAGTTGGGGCCACAGGTGGAACCTCAGACGGGTGGGAGCCTGGCATTGCCATACCTGGACACAAGAGTCGTAAGGTGATTGGTTGATAGATTGAGTAGGTTTTGACTCAGTTTTGGTCATCATACTAAGGTGAAAAACAGAGTGGACATAATGAGTTAGCAATGTCACCTGTATCAATGTGAAACTGCACATTAAGAGACGATGAAGGGGAGAGGAAATAGAAAAAGTATGATGGAAAGGAGGAGGAGGATGAAGGAAGAGAATGAGAAAGAGGATAAGATGTGTGACTTTGAAACCTGCAAACAAAATACTGAGAAATAAAACAGGAAAGAAACAACCTCCTTCTGATCATCATAACAAGATATAAAAGCTGTAAGTGTAACAGTGCATCAACTGACCTGGCTGTTGGAAAGGTGGCATGCCTGGCTGAAAGGGAACCCTGGTTTGCTCCATCCCTGGGCCAGCCATGCTGCTGGGTGGGCCACCTTGTGGGAACATGCCCGGGGGTCCTGGGGGTCCCGGGTACGGGGGAAGTCGGGGACCTCCGGGTGGGCCCTGAGGGGGCGCTGCTCCTTCAGGGAAAGGGCCCGGGGGACCGGGAGCTGAGGAGAACAACAAGAGGGAAGTTAAGTTAGCTTTAGTAAGGTTTTACGGCCCTCGCAACTGCATACGGCCATATGAGGGCCAAGGGGTGGATGTCAACAGAGAAGTTCAAACGAGGAATCAGGCTTACTCTGCATACCTCTCTAGCCTCAACAGCACAAAAGTCTGCTTCGACTATCAAGGCGCCCCGGAAATAGCGGGTCACAATGGAGTGACAAACATACAAAAAAAGTAGACAGAAACTTACAATAGTAAGGATGAGGAAACAAAAAGCAGCAGTTCCCCCTATGTTGTTCTGGCACAGTATGAGCATGACCTTGATAAAGTTTTAGTAAGAGTTTTACGGCACTCGCAACACAATAAGATTATTATAAGTGCCAAATTGTTTGTTTTAGTGTTTTACGGCACTTACAACACAATATGGTCATACAAGTGCCAAAGACTAGAGGTGTAATAAGGGAGTAACAAACATAAAAAAACAAAGGAGGGGAGATAAAGAGGATAGATGTTTGATAGGAAAGAAGGAGCAAACCACACCAGAGCACCCACCAACCACCCACAAGTGCCAAAGATTAGGGGTGTTACAAGAGAGAGAAACAAACACAAAAAGGAGGGGGGATGTTGTTGTTAGCGATCCAGTAGGAGGGGGGATAAGGAGGATTGGTGTTTGATAGAAAAGAAGGCGCAAACCGCACCAGGACACCCACCAACATAAATTTGAGAGTTTTGTAATATAATGCATGTTTTCTGTTTTAGTGAGCGTTTTATGGCACTTCCAACACAATAAAATCGTTTAAGTGCCAAAGATTTGGGGCGTCACAAGAGAGTAACAAACACAAAAAAGAAGGAGAGGACGGATGTTTAATGGGAAGGAAGAAGCAAACCACACCACAGCACCCACCAACCGTCCAACAACACAACTTTGAGAGTTCTGTAAGATACACATTAGGGGAAGACAAGACAGCTTTGGGAGTTTCATAATATGCATTGGGGAGCATAGACTTGGACTTGTTACAGGAGAGCTCACTTTTTAAAAAAAGCTTTAAAAACCCCAGCGGTCTCTGAATTTATCGCCAACTAACAAACTATTGGTAAGGGACACTTTTTGGTGCCATTCTGGAAGCTGTCCCAATCCAAAAGCCTGGCACCCGAGTCCTTTCACATGGATTGTTGCCAATTAGTACACAGGTGTATGTTTACATGTCATATTTAATCGACCCCAGTATGATCTCCAAGGCCCTCTCACCATAAAATTCCAGGCGCCATGATCAGTTGATAATGCTTTTACAGTACGCAGTTTAAGCTGTAAATAAAATTAATCAATATATTTTTGCTAGGATATATTTATACGTCATACCATAGGCAAATCTATTTATATGTAATATTTTGTAGAATTAATTCCAGGGATGTAACCGTGTACTTTTCCAAATTGTTTTCACCCATATATCAGACCAACAACCTTATACCGTTCAGTGTAGAGACGTCATAAATAAATCTTAAGGTAACAAACTCTCTCATCTATTCCATGAAACGAACAAGTCTAACTACGATAATACACTTACGCCTGGGAAACCTGGGACCGGCTCCCTCAAATGGAATGTTCCGTTCTCTGTAAAACTGGGCCACTGCTCCCATACCCTCAGGACCTGTGGAGGAGGGGGTGAACAAATCAATCTACATGAAGTATAAGCCATCAGCGAAAAACCATTTTCCGCCAGTCTCTTGACTTTCCACTAAAATTTCTCGGAAGAAATAGTGTCGTGACAAAATAAGCTCACCCCCCCCCCCCCCCCAATATGTGCTTGCATGCGTATTTAATAAGTCTATGCAGGAGTAGACACTTTCACCATAACCAAAACCAATGTTCTCATATTTATCGATCCTAGCTGTTATTATCGATCCAGATTTATCCCTGCCAGGGATGACCCCCTTCAGCTTGTGACTAAGTGGCGCCCCCTTCCCCTTCCATCTACTAAAACAGCATCATCAACTGTGCTGGTACACACCTCGGGGTCCTGGAGGAAGAGACTGCGGCCCACCCGCTGGGCCCGGGGGTAGCTGCGGCTGCTGAGAGGGCTGACCACTGGGCAGCTGAGAGCCCGCGGTGGCCGGGTGTGGAGGGGGGCCCGATGGACTGGCAGTCGCTGCTGCGGCGGTGGTGGACACGGCCATGTTGTTGTTGCCGCTGAGAGCTGCCGGTGTCGCCGTCACAACCGGGGAGCCGCCAGAGGTCAAGGCCGTGCTGGCTGAAGGGGTGGCTGCTGCCGCTACTCCTGCTGCTGTCCCTTGCTGAGATTGCTGCTGCTGTTGTTGTTGCTGCTGCTGCTGCTGCTGTTGTTGTTGCTGCTGTTGCTGTTGCTGATCTGGGCCCGGTACGGGCGCGGCCCCCATGTTGAATGGCGGTCGAGGGCCGGGGGCTCCAGCGCCCATAGCTGGGGAGGGGGGTGGCAGTTGTTGGGGTCCCCCGGGGGGGTTGGGCTGGGGTGGCACGCCAGGACCAGGTGGGAGGTTCGTACGCTGGATCTCCCGCTGCTGGAAACCTTCGCTGAACGGATTGTTGTCCTGTAGAGGAAGGACGAAATGGCCAATGAAAAGGAGAGAAGGGAAAATAAAAGAAGAAAGGGGTGAACGAAAAAAAAGAAAAGGACAGATTTTTCCCTTCTATTGATCTTGATGTCTCAGAAATAAATAGACACACGAACATTTTTTCTAATAAAAATGAAAACGACATGAAAGCCTTGCATCAATTTTTTTTTTTTTTTACCCAAGAGTACTAGCACTTTACTTGCCAACAATAAGTGTGAGGCATTAAAATTGGTCCAGAGATAAGGGTAAAGACAGGGTATATATGAGACACTTTGCCAAAATAAATATCACACAAGTATGGCAGATTATGAATGTACATCGGAGGAGTGTTCCACCGGACGCAATTCCAGCTGGAGAACAGCAGGTCAGCTGCTCCTCACCAAACTTGGGGTAAGATAGAGGGTGAGGAGTCAAGTATACTCTTTGTTTAGTTGAGCAAAGAGAAACACATCAAGACAACAACTGCCACTTAATGTACGAAAAGGGTGAGACAGACAGACAGAAACGATACAGGGAAAGAAAAAGAAGTAGGACCTATCAGTGGCGCCCTCCGACCACTCTCAAACAATACACTTCTAACACTACAAAAAAGAAGGAAAAACTCAAACTGCTATGAATCAACAACAAAAAAAAGAAAGAAAGAAAGAAGGCAAAACTGCTATGAATCACCGAGTTTTTAAAAATTGAAAGACGCGACTCACCCCTAAGACGTGTATGGCCGTGGGCGCCCTCATCCGGTTCTGCTGCTGTTGCTGCTGCTGATTGGCCATGCGGATGCGATTGTGCATGTAGGCCTCATACTCCTGTCGTGCCGTCGGGCTCAGGCGCACGGAATTCTGAGCGCCAGGGACGCGAGGCTGGGGCATGGATACGCTGGTGCCTGGCATAGACGTCTCTGGCAGTCCACCACTCCACATACGGCCAAACTGTTCCTGAGGGAAGAAACACATTTGATTGTTTGACCGTTTGTCTGATGGTGATAGTTGGCTGACAGCCAGACGATAACTAAGAGAGAGAAGGAAAGAGAAGAACATTAACACAGAGACTGTCATATACATGACTTGTCAAAAGTTTCTTATCATCCGAAGATTCTCTCTAACAGAAACCATTTTTAACCCTCATCAATACATTTTAATTATTCAAGAGGCCAGCTGCTTTGCCCCACAGCGCGAGACACGACACCCCCGCAGAGACAATGAGATAGCTATAAAATCTTCCCTATACGAAAAATCAAATTCAAGTAATAAGCCTGCAAGGTTAAACACTAAATAATCAAATAACAGATATCAGAAACTTCCTGAAGAACTGGTACCAAAAATAAAAAGGCTTTCAAAACTGCAAAGTTACATAAAAGATAGAGCCACAGATTTGACGCCCAAGACTGACAGGACAAGGCCAGCTGGTGGAAACACCTGAAAACTTTTTTGGGTTAGAAAATGTGGGTTCAAACCAGGCCTTTCCATTCCAATCCACCACAATCCTGGGTAAGCAGTGCCCCAGTTTTACAACGCAGAATTACAACAAAAACAACAACAAAATCGCACTTCAAAATTGACAAGGACAATAGAACAACAAAAATCGCACTTCAAAAATGGCAAGGACTTTGAAAACCAAAAAAAATACTCGCCAGCTCTCAGCCTGCTAATGACTGTCAAACTCAGTTTCAACTCATTTTTAAAAAATGTATGCCACCCTCTAGGGTTCAGAAATGATTAATAGCCCAGTTTTCTTTTGTTTTGTTGCTTTAAAGTCCCAATGGACACAAATTTGACCCATCATGAGACAGGCTGGTTTGACTTTGCCAAGCAGGCTGCACAGGACGCTACACAACAGCAAAAAGATAGCACATTTTACCAAATGCCTTCCCTACATTGAAACCAAACGTACGTATTTTGGCAACGAGACAGATCATAAATAACCAAAGCATCACACAACAAAAGTAGACAGAAGAGAAAACCAAGTTAGGAACTGTCCTTATCCTCATAATTCTAGCCACCCGTGGGGAACACAAGAAAACATCTGAAGAGACAAATGCACATCAACACAACGACAGTCATACTACAGAGTCGGTTAATAATGAATCATATTCATATAGCACGCGTCCTTGCTCAAAAGTTGGCACTGCGTACTAAACAATTCATTAATTAATAATGACAAAAAGGACCCATACGCAGTTGTCCCTAACAGCTAGATTGAAAGCGGAGTTGACTTATACATAGCATTATTTGTTCCCAAAGAGAGCAGTAACCGGTCTCCTCAAAAAAGTAATGATAAACCCTCCTGTCAACAATTCGCCTTTGAAATAAAATTTTCTTTTCCAGTCAGAAATGATGTTTAAAATAAAACACATACAATTATCTGTGAAGCTTTTCAAATTCATTTTCGCAAAATACATCCAGATGCAACACTTGACGAAGATTTGAATGAAAATCATACAAGTACCATATTTTCGGCTACACTTTTTATCTCTGAAAGTGGAGAGTTCTGTACCAACACTTCCTTTGGTTGGGGAGGAGGAATCTGAAGTATCTGAGAAATTGAAACAAGGTTTGAACATTTCTCCACCATTTCTCAGCTCTTGTGGTGGGCCTGCTGCTCTTTAGCAGAGGAGCTTTCAACAAAAATCGAACGAGAAACCAAAATCATAATGCACCATACGGAACTGAATCTTCAAAGCTTTGCTCAGAACTGAACCAAAAGAGTTTTGTACCACAAAAAAGACAAAGAAGCGAAACAGAACCACACAAGAATTAATCAAACAGAACCACAGAGAGATAAGACATACCAAAATCTACTCACTACACTGAGTCTGTAAGAAGCAACGGAAAAACAATGCAAAGGACCTAAATGATTCCACAGAGATACATAATAAATCTAGAGAGATACACATTCGTTGGATAAATATTAGTCACCAGTACGACCATCATATTATGACAGAGAGAGTGAACACACTTTAGGTTGGGGAACATAATAGCTCGATTCTTTTGCCATGCTGCGTCTGTTAAACGCAAACGCCCGCATCAAATTTTGAAGATGTGGACAACAAGTTAAAGTGATCCACGATGATAATGCACTTAAGTCATCTGGGTCTGATTACATAAACGAAGAGAATGATACAAAATAGAAGAAGTGGCAGACCACAAGAAAATGTCTGCTAACTACCTCTTGGACAATTGTGCATTGACTCCATTACCACTGGGAATGGATTATGGGACAACAGTAATACTTTAAAAGAAGCAAAGTAGAAAGAGCTGATCCCAATAGAATGTCCACAAACTTCTTGTTGCTTGGAGATTGAGTAGATGTTTTATAGCACTATCATCTCAATTTTAGTCATATTGATTGTAGGAGCACGATTCATATACCATGGAAGTCACACCAGGAGGGATAAGAAAGAGGGCCTCGGAGGGGGGGAGGGGGGTTACAAACAAACAAAAGAAAAAGACAATTTTTGACAAAACAAGCTAAACAATTTTTTTTGTTTTAGAAATAGTTTTACGGCACTCGCAACACAATCAGGTCATATAAATGCCGAAGATTAGAAGTGTTACAAGAGAGTAACAAACACCAAAAAAAAGGAGAGATCGTTTAGTTTTAGTAAGTGTTTTAAGGCACTTGCAACACAATGAGGTCGTATAAGTGCCAAAGAATAGAGGTGTTGCACGAGAGTAAAAACACAAACTAGGAGGGGAGAAAAAGACGATCGATTTTTTATAGGAAAGAAGAAGCAAACTACACCAGAGTACCCACCAACCCCACACAATGAGAGATCAGGATGACAGATGTCTGATAGGAAAGAAGGAGCAAACCACACCAGAGCACCCGCCAACAACCCGCCGAGCTAAACAGACATGATACAGCCAGCCAGCCAGCCAGCCAGAGAGAGACAGACAGACAGAGAGACATAGAAACAGACAGACAGAGAGACTGACAAACAGCCTAATAGCCAAATAGACAGTCAACCAGCCAGCCAGCCACAGACAAAAATACAGACATACAGAGAGACAGACAAACAGACAGACATACAGACTGACAGACACATAGACAAGACAGTCAAATAGACAGCCAAATAGACAGTCAACCAGCCAGGGAGCAAGCCACAGACAAAAATACAGAGAGACAGACAGAGGTACAGACAGACACAAAGACAAGACATGGCCGGGCTGACCAACAACCCCTAGGACGGCCAGACTGACCTGTTGCTTTGTGCGGTAGTCCTGCATCAGGTGCTGGTGCTGTCTCAGCAGTTTGCGCTGTGCCTCCAGCTGCTTCTGCAGGCCCGACTGCTCCGTGGTAATGCGCTCCAGCTCCTTCGTGTCGGCCGGGTTCAGCTCCGAGCCGTTCTTCTTGGCCTGTCGTACAAACAGCGAGCGATAACGCAACTGATTCACAGTAATGGGAGGTTTAGTTTTAGTGCAGGTTTTACGGCGCTCGCAACTGCATAAGGTCATATGAGCGTCAGAAAATTAAAGGTGTTACAAGAGAGTAACAAACATAAAAAATGAAGAAGGGGAGTAAAGGACGATAGATGTTTGATAGGAAAGAAGAAGCAAACCACACCAAAGCACCCACCAACCACCCACTTCGGTTAAACGATGGGTGGATGTCAACAGAGAAGTCTTAACGGGGAATAAGGCTTTTTATAAAATATCTTTTTTGGGGGGGGGGGGGGGGTAAGTATTTTGCAGCACTTGCAACACAATAAGGTCATTTAGGTGCCGAAGATTTAGAGGTGTTACAAGAGAGTAGCAAACACAAAAAAGGAGGAGAGATAAGGACGATAGCCGTTTGATAGGAAAGAAGGAGCAAACCACACCAGAGCACCCGCCAACTACTAACCAAAAACGCAACCGATTCAGTTAAGTTCAGAGTAATGTGAAGAACATTGCCACAATAATGGTCATTTTGTACAAAACAAAACACTGGCAGAAACAGCACATGGAAAGAAAACAAGAGGGATCTACAACTGCAATGCTGTTCTCTCAAACCAAAATACACACAAGACTGAACTAATTTCAAATGCACACAAAGAATGAAATAACTCTCTCTCTCTCTCTCTCTCTCTCTCTCCCTCTCTCTCTCTCTCCCTCCCCCTCTCTCTCTCCCTCCCTCCCCTTCCCTCCCTCCTCCCTCCCTCATGTGTGTATGTGAGGGAGTGACACCTCTCCTGTGTGTGTCTGTGTGACAGAGGAAGAGGGAGGGAGGGAGGAAAATAGATGGAGAGACAGAGAAAAAGACAGACAGAGACAGACACACAGTCAGTCATCCATGTCAGTACTGACCAGTCTCTGCCGCGCCTGTATGGTCTTCTTGCTGCGCTTCAGCTTGTTGACCTGCGTCTCAAACATCTTCACCTGAGCCTCCAGGTACATGGCCTGCTTACTCAGCCAGTCCTCGTAGAGAGCAGCCTGGCGGTCGTACTCCGGCCCCAGCTCACCTGCAGAGGTCAACGGTCACTTTGTCAAATCTACCATCACACCCAAGCCTCAATAAATCCATACCCATGTATCTTCAATCTTCAAGAACCCTCACTTCTCAAAACCACTTTAAATCTCTTCCATATATCAAGGTAAGTTGTCCTCCATCCCTCCTAGCTCACCTGCAGAGGTCAAAGGTCATGTCATAATGTCTTGGTATCTAACCCCAATTCAAATTAATGTCAGAACATCTTTAAGAAATTTTCGTAATAAAAAGTCTCCCTAAATATCTTTAATAAATACCAGTATGCAAGCAATAACAGCTTCTGTTAATACATTTCCTAGATTGAAGTATGTCGGAAAAAAGTAAGTTGAAAAACATTAGGAGACAAATAAAAATCAATAGAAATCACCATGACATTTTTTCCACCCCAGAAATTAAACAAATACCATTCAAACCAAGAAAGAAAAACTGAACAAGGGGAAAAGAAAAAAACTAAACGCTGCCTGCAGATTGACTAATTACCTCCCTGAAGATCCAAAAACCTTTTGTGACTACATCAACAGAGCACTACAGAATCCTACTTCTAGTCACCTAACAACAGAGCTTCTCCATTTCATCAAATTTTTATCTTACTAGGTGTCTCTAAAAAAAACCCCAGCAAGAACAAACCCCAAAGCCAAGAAATATCTCATTACCTGACGGAGGTTTCACTGGAGTAGGGGGCGCCATAGGCATGGGCTGGCCTGGTGGGGGCCCTGGGCCGCCAGGACGAGGCCCCATGGCGTCTCCCGGACCAGAGAACGGGATCGGCGGCCGCTGGGCCATACCCGGGTGCATCATCCGAGGGGGGAAACCTGACAAGAACCAGACGAGAGTAAGAACTCAGCAAAAAAAAGATAAGCATGAACATCTATTCATAAAAATTCCACAAGTAAAAACTAAAATTTTTCGTTTGAACTCCGCACAAAGAGAAAGAATGGTCTAGAACATGACCAGAATGAATTTCTTCATTACATTACAGGCCAATCACTTGCACATCACAAATACAAACAAATAAATGTGTGGCGTCGGTGGACTAGTGGTTAGGCTCTCAGATTCGCAACCATAAGGTCGTGGGTTCGAATCCCGTCAGGGGCCCGACGTTGTGTCCTTCGGAAAGGCACTTTGCACAAATTTTCCTCACTTCACCCAGGTGGGAATGGGTACCCGGCTATAGACAGCGAAAGATCTTGTCAGTTTGTTAGTGTTTGAGCCCTTAATCAGCTGCTTGCACTGTATGCTTCCCGGGAAGCTGAGAATGTTTCGGAGTGTTCTATGGTCTGCTGGGGTAATAATATAGTGTAAAGCGCATAGAGCCTGCTGTTGAGCGGGGATATGGGCTATACAAATGCTATTTATTATTATTATTATTATAACATCATTTATGAAAACTTATGAGCATTCGATGGAAATGGAATTAAGCACCGAAAAAATCCGATTATGTGCAAATCCAATCAGGGTTCTTCAATTGACACACACACACACACACACACACACACACCCGAAAAAAAAATAATAAAACCCCGCGGAGGGTTCTGATTTTAGAGTACTTAGCAGGTTTACCGACTCCAGACGCCTGTCTTCAACTGACCTTGCTGAAACTGTCCCGGTGGTGGCCCGCCCGGCCCTGGCTCGGAGGAAGGAGGCCAGGGAACTCCGCCGGCCTCCGGGGGCCCAGGCAGTCTCATCCCAGGGTGTGGCTGCTCCATGCGCATGGGGCCGGACACAGGCGGGGGGCCGGGGGCCATGACCGGCATAGACTGGTCCCCCGGGGGGCCCGGCCCGTCCCGGCGATGCATCATGGCTTGCTGCTCCGCTTGACGCTTCTGATGCTCCTTCTCCTGGAGTGAAAGGCAAGACGACGCTCCATGATAAACTATCAAGCAATCAACTCTTGTAACATGCAAAGAATCTCCACCACAAAATTTCAATCAATCCACTTATTGATTGTTAAACAAATCCCCATGATAAACTAAGCGGCTATCAACTTTTGCAACATACCACAAATCTCCACCATAAGATATCAATCTATTGATTTACTGAACATTTAACAAATCCCCATAATCCACTTATGTCGTGTAGAACAAGTCCCCACTATAATCTATCAATCTATTCACTTATATAAATTAGAGAAATTCCCTAAAATAAAACTAGCAATCTATCAACTGGTTTAACACAGAACTTATTTCTATGATCAAAGATAGATCTGTATAAAAGAAAAGAGAGGTGGAAGCAAATAAGGACAAAGGTGATTTAAGCAGAATTACGGCAAAGGTACAGCTTGTGGAAATTAAATGTTTCCAAAGCGGTTCTCAGGAGTGAAAAATACCCAAACGAGCTGTTTTCAAAACAAAAGAGCTTTGAGGAGAAACTAAAAGGTAATGGCACTGCTTCTAGAAATAAATGTTTCCGAAGAGGTTCTCGGAAATGAAAAATAGCCACAGGAGCTGTTTCTTAAAACAAAATGGCTTTGAGGGAAAAATAAAATAACACCTAAAGAAACAGCTTCTAGAAATAAATCTTCCAAAAAGACAGATCAAAACCTACAGGTACTGCTTCTAAAAACAAATTTCTCCAAGGGGTTAAAGGTCAAGCACTACCTCCTCCACCAGCTCGACCAGCAGGTGTCCCTGGGGTCCCTGTGCTCCCGGCGCGCCTGTGAACGGGGGTCCGGGGACGCCCGGCTGCCGCGGGGGGCCCACGCCTCTCACGTTGGGCGGGTGGCTGAGGCGAGGGGGCTGCGGCGGCTGTCCCTGGAACTGGAGGCGGTTCTGTGCGTGCGACAGCTGTTGTTGCAGGCTCGGGTGTGTGCTCGGAGATGGGTGCGGACCTCTCATGCCTGGAGCCATCGGGGGAATGGTGAGGAGAATGATAGTTGTGTGAAAAAAGGATGACAGCCACATTTTCAGGTTGAAAGAAAATTGAATTCTTAAGTCTGGAACTACAATTTGTATATTTATCTATTATGCCACCTGTAAAAGAATCTGTAACTCAAGAGTAAGACCATTGTTTGTCCTATAGTTGTTGGGTTTTTTTAATACTCTGGGACTGCATGTGATTTGTACCTTTTGTTCCATTTGGGTCTTCATGGTTTACGTACACTTTACTGTGTATCAACATTGGAGATCATTTAGAACAATTTCACACATATAGTTCTTGAATGGTCACACTGAACATTGCTGTTCTTACGAAATTCCCAAAATTAGTTCCATAGCCTACGATCAAAATCTCAAGAAGCAGGTAATGGTTCAAACCTCGGCAGTGGCATGGGTATAAGAACACACAAAGTTCACAAGACACAAAAGTAAATCAACTAAAATCTCCGCATAGAGAAACCAAGAAAAAGAAAGTGCCCTCCCCTTCCCAAAAAATACGTCACAGGACTTACCTCTGGCTTGCATCTGTTGGTACATAGGGTGTGGCCGACCGTCGGCCATCGTCATGGGCTGAGGCATGCGAGGGCCCAGCCCCTCCACTCCCTCCATACCACCATCGCCAGGACGAGGGAAACGACCCGTCTGAGCATCCGGAGGTCTGCAAAATGTTTGTTCGCATTTCAGTATAATGTCAAGGACAAAAATATCTATAAGCTTGAGGGTACCCATATGCAACACAATTACACTGCACAACTGAGAAAGCAATTTCACAGCTACTTAACATTATAATACATTATGTTAACTATGAGGAAAAAGCTTGTTAAAGAAAAATTGGTCTTTGCACCTTTGTGCATCATTGTTCAGTGTGATTGACAGTAGTTCCTCGATTGATCGTTGATGTTTTAGGTCCCCTGTCCATACAGTTTAGACCAGCAAAGAAGTAGGACATACATGCGTGTGTGTGTGTGTGTGTGTGTGTGTGTGTGTGTGTGTGTGTGTCTGTGTGTGTGTGTGTGTGTGAGAGAGTGTGTGCGAGTGTGTGTGTGTGAGTGTGTGTGCGCGTGCGCGTGTGTTGTGTGTGGGAGAGTGAGCGTTTGTGTGTGTAGGGCTCATGACAATGAATCTGAAACATGTATGCTTGTCAGAAAGCAGCCACACTTCCAGTGTACATATCAGAGTCAGTAAAAGTATTTCTAAAAATTGTCTTGAAGAAGCTTACTAAAACACACTATAAATCTTTTTTTTCTTCGTTTCATATTTCCAACACGAATTCAATGAGTCTGTCTGCATATAATCTCACAGCAAGGCGCAAACCCTCGGTGCGTGCTCACCTGATGTTGTGAGGTGGCATGTTGGGCTGAACGTAGACAGGAGCAGGTCGTGGGCCTCCCGGGTGACCCATCTGCTGGCTGAAGCCGGCCGGAGGACGACCACCCATAGCCCCAGGAGGGTAGCCTTGGGTCATCATCATGGGTGGGCCGGGGGATGGAAGGCTGGGGACACACAGTGCATTGAGGTTTATGACTTTCAATAACAAGCAAAGCGTTTAGTTTTAGTTTTAGTTTTAGTAGAGGTTTTACGGCGCTCGCAACTGCATACGGTCATATGAGCGCCAAGGGGTGGATGTCAACAGAGAAGTCCTTACAGGGAATCAGACTTACTCTGCTCACCTCTCTAGCTTCAAGAGAGCAAAGTCTGCTTCGACTATCAAGGCACCAAAGAAATAGCGGGTCACAAGAATGTGACAAACATACAAAAGAAGTAGAAGAAAAATGACGATAGTAGGGATTAGGAAAGAAAAAGCAGCAGTTCCCTGTTGCAATTCAAGCACAGTTATAAGTAAAACATTGATGAATCAGCCCATTTACAATTCTACTGGGCATAAAAACATGTTAATGTCCCCCCTTTGGGAATGGCGTAAAGACACTGCGTCAGTAGCACCGCCCTTGGAGCTTAAACAAGTGCACAGTGTTCAATAGGGCAGAACACTTCAGCAGACACCTACTCTTTAAAGGACAGTGGGGAATGCTCAAGTCTGAAAACAAAACTTGGCACAGAGATTAATTCCGCCATTCCAACCTCTACATACAGCATACAAATTTGAATACATGAAATATTTCAAGTCATTGTCAAAAGGTCATATTTTCAGCATACTTTGATTACATCTAAAGAAAAAAAATCTTGATTTTTTTAAAACAAAAAACTTCCCATATTTAATAATTGCACTCAGTAGAGTGAAGAAAAATTGAAAGGCACTTGCTCCCAGTGAACAAACAACCAAACTTAGCATGAACACCCTAGGACTACCAACTCACCTAGCAAACGGTTGTTGCTGGGAGGTCGGATACGGTGAGTGAGGGGCCGACCCTGTGCCGTGGCCAAACTGCTGCTGCCCACCGGACGAGCTGGGAGGGGAGAACGGGACCTGGATGCTCCCGGCAGAGAACGGGGAGAGCTGGGGCCCGCCCGGCGTCATCGGCTGGCTGTGGGGAGAGGCCGAGTGACGTCCTCCCAACAGAGCGTTGAACGGAGACTGCATGTTGGGAGTGCGGGGCGACGGCTGACCACTGCGAGGGGAGTGCATTATCTGGGGGGGGGGGGGGATACCGAGAGAAAACATTATCAAAAGAAAAAGCAAATGCTATGGCAGAAACTAGCAAAACCATCACAACCTTGTTTTAACTCATTCACTGCCTTGCCCAACAAGACAATACATGTGCACAGATAGGATCATACAAAAAGTATGGAAGTGAAGGGATAAGTAACTTGTTTGAATAAAGAGCAGTACATCGAAACAATTATCTTTACACCTAGCCCTAACTGTTGCAATAAGCTAACAAAATTTTAATTACATTCAAAAAATATATCAATAACAGCTGAAAAAGTACACGAATACAGGAGAAATAACTTTCTTTTACCTTCCACCGACCTACAACGTAACTCTTCAATTTCTTTTATGTGTACTAGAAAGTTAACTGCTGCTTTTATGTGTACTAGAAAGTTAACTGCTGCTTTTATGTGTACTAGAAAGTTAACTGCTGCTTTTATGTTTACAAGAAATTCTAATGCAAAAGAAAAACAAAAGGCTGCAATCGAAAAGTAAAAACTGACACTGGAACAAAAGCATTTCCTTCCTACAACGGTAAAATGAAAAGTAAAAACTGACACTGGAACAAAAGCATTTCCTTCCTACAACGGTAAAATGAAAAGTAAAAACTGACACTGGAACAAAAGCATTTCCTTCCTACAACGGTAAAATGAAAAGTAAAAACTGACACTGGAACAAAAACATTTCCTTCCTCCAACGGTAAAATGAAAAGTAAAAACTGACACTGGAACAAAAGCATTTCCTTCCTACAACGGTAAAATGAAAAGTAAAAACTGACACTGGAACAAAAGCATTTCCTTCCTACAACGGTAAAATGAAAAGTAAAAACTGACACTGGAACAAAAGCATTTCCTTCCTACAACGGTAAAATGAAAAGTAAAAACTAACACTGGAACAAAAACATTTCCTTCCTCCAACGGTAAAATGAAAAGAAAAAAAAAAAGCAAGTACCTTAGGAGAAGGTAATCCCGACGACCCAGGCTGGCCTGGGACCTGTGACGGAGACATTTGCATATGTGGAGAGGCCAGGTTGGGGTTAAAGGGTGCAGGTCGTGGCACCGAGCCAGGCCCCACCCCTCCCATGGCGTCTACTCCAGGCTTCACCTCCGTGTCAGAGCCGCTCATTCTGCACAAAGATAGGACACAATGTTTCATTCATCTTCTGGTGCAAAAAGGAAAACAGTCAACGGTCCTCGACTTCTATAAAATGCAAAATAACAATACTTCACATCATATCCATACATTCAAACGATGTACATGAAAATTTAAGTTCTATCTCGACATATAATCTTCCTTACATATACTCAATATTGCAGGTATGGTAAAGACTCAATAATCATGTAACAAAGTATTGTTGGCCCATCAAACTTGTAAGAAAAGACAACACCATGAGCAACAAGATGAGAAATAACACCTCAGGTATTCATGGCTTTTTTCTCCCTGGCAATCTTTTCTTTTCTTATTATGAAAACTTCCACAACAGAAAAGAGAAGAATTGTTGAGTCTGGCTCTGACCAAGTTACATGCACATTTGTGAGGAAGTGTGGTGAAATCATGCGCTTGTAAAAATAATGAAATCCGAGAAATCGCCATTTTCGGCGATTCTGGAAATTTTTTCAATTTTTTGTTTATAGGCTCAACACCTTGTACGTCCATTCAAAAAATACTTTAATGCGTGAATTTTATGGAAAAACGACTAAAAGCACAAGACATGCGAATGAGCAGTTTCCAAGGATTCTTATGCTATGGAAGCCAACAAAATTTGGCGGCCATTTTCTTGCTAATTTTACTTCTGAAACCAGGCGACTCCACCTCCTTTAATCGCAAATATATCGACCTCTCTTCAAGATAAAAGATATTTTTTTCATCAAAAGCTAGGCAAACGAACAAGCTTTAAGAGGGCACCAATTACTCTATATGGCCGAAAATTGACGAGCACCTGATTCCACTGTCTCGGGACACACATATATATTTAAATTTATGCCGTGGCAGCATTCACAACATCCAACATTCTACCAACCTAGCCGCCATAGCCTCGCTGCCCTGAAGGAGAGCAGCTATCTGGCCCACTTCTGTCTTTTCCTTCTCTTTCTCTTCGGCGCTCTTCTCAGAGCCATCCTCCTCTCCTTTCTCCTTCTTCATCTCCGACTGCTGCCGCTGGTTAAACTCCAAGAACTTAGCTTGAAAGTCTGTGGCTTTGGCCACATTAACCTCACCCTCTTTATCCTTGATGCTCTCTTTGCTAAAAACACAAAGAAAAAGAAGTGAAAAAATCAGTTCAGCTCAACCTTAGCTCTTTCCTTTCCTAAAACCATATTCAATAGTTAATAATTCAAGAAAAAAGACTTCTTCCCTGTAAACAAGATTTTTAAAAAAAATATATTCTAAAATATAATTTAAAGCATACGCATTTCGTACATGAAGATAAACTAAACGGTGGAAAATGTGCACAGACAGTATGTACAAAAGGGCAGTATTTCTGTGATGGTATAACACAATATGAAACTCAACATTGAGAGGAAGAACTGTTCATCATGAATGAGAACTTAAATCATCAGTATTCTTCTTTCCCCTAGAACCTTAATAGAAACGAAAGATCCAATCAACATATGCCATGCATTGATGGGAAAAATCGTGAACTGTGTCTTATAAGATTTGAAATAAGGATCATAAGAGTCTTTAAAAAAAAAAAAACACCTGTAAAAATAAAATGTTAACAATTAAACAACATTGTAGAGAAAACATATTTTTAACAAAGTGGCAATATGAAACAAACCTTCTTAATTTGAATATTTCAAAGCAGAGTTTGCACTCACAGCTCTCCCACTCAAAGGTGTACGTTTTACAGCAAATCTAAGAACAAAAGCTGAAAATCCACTTTTCAGGAATCTTTTGGGATTATAAACCCTTGTACAATTTTTTACTGAGCATGAACAACAACTATTCCTCAGATTTCTCCAACAAGTCCCATTTGTGAGGCAGCGTGGTGGAATCAAGCTCTCGTCAATTTTTGGGCATGTAGAGTTATTGGTATCATCTTAAAGCTAGTTCACTTGTCTTTATTTGGATAAAAAATAGTATCCATTTATCTTGAATACAAGTCGAGATATTTACGAAAGAAGGAGGTGGGGGTCACCTGTTTTCAGAGGTAAAATTAGTGAGAAAATGGCTGCTAAAGGTTAGTTATTTCCTTAGTTTAAGAGTCCGTGGTAACTGTAAATCTACATTTTCTGTGTCTTTAATCAATGTTTTTCAGAAAAATCCACACAGAAATGAGTTCTTTAATGGGCATGAAAGGTGTTGAGCCAAAAAATAAAAATTTAATAAAAATTCACAAACCTGCGGAAAAATGCAAGTTTCTTCATTTTGATTATTTTGACGAGAGCCTGATTCCACCACGCTGCCTCACATTTGTTTAAATTTTCACTGAGCATGAACATGAAAAAGAAAAGTCTGGCCAGAAAAAACACAATCAACACACCTATCTTCAGATTTATCAGACAAGTCATCTTTTTTCTGATCACCCGCCTGACTAGCGGCTTTTTCATCTTCCATAAAGTCCAACTGCTCAAACATTTTATCATCGAGCTCCAGATCGAGGTCCGGGTCAGCGTACTTGAGAATGTCAAAAGTGCCGTCAGCACCTGGTGTGGAGAAGAGCTCTAAGGGAGTAAGTAAGAAGTCAAGTTGTACAAGGCGCTCACTGTGCAGTTGGCGGGGTGGAGGCATACATCAAACATCAATACACATACAATAAATACAATAAACACACACACACACACACACACACACACACACACACACACACACACACACACACACACACACACACACACACACACACTCATATCAATGGAGTTATGCTGTAACTATAACTGGTTTTTAGAAAAATTTTCAATACCCCAAAAAATCCCCCCCCCCCCAACCATTCCCTTCTTATTCAAAGGCTAGAGGGTAAACACAAATATTAACCCACAGTAGCTTTACACTGTTGTAAAATGACTCGCAATTTTTTTTTTACAGAGGACCCACAGATCAACCAGGGTGATGCTTTTAGAGAGAAAAAAAAGTTGACCTATTTCGTCCAGGTACACAGTTACATGGTAAGAGCTTAACACCATTGATTTTTTTACATATATTTATCACATACATACTGTAATGTTACACAAGACAAGTAAACACAAACTACCAATGACAAAGATCCCTCTCTCTCTCTCTCCCTCTCCCTCTCATTAACATAATTTGCAGCGACACAACACAAACACATTTAAACTGCTTACATTATAGAGACATGTCTTTCTTTTGTCCGTTCCTCTCGAGAATTCCAAACTTCAATTTTTTAAATTTTTTTTTTAAAGCCTAGACCACTGATCACACCCTACACAAGGATAACAGCCTTCGACATTGCAACGAGACCTGAAGTCCTTCTCCGTTCATGAAAGGAGGAATTGAATCCAATTAACGAACAGCCCCTCTCACTAGTCGTTTCATCTATGAAGTTTGACAGTTACTCTACTACACCAGCAGTTGAGCAACTTTTTCAGTCCGCAACCCCCCAGGACATCCAGACCTCATCCTCAGTGCCCCATCCTAAGCAAACACCTGAGCACTGTGCGCAACACACACACACACACACAGCTCTTTACCACTGGTCTTCAAAAGACACAGAACACATCAGAAACACTGCAGACAGCAGCTAGTCAAATTTACGAGAGTTCAAAAAAAAAAAAAACCTCTCGCATACACACATACAAACATTTTAAACAACACTGACCATTTAGACACATAAAAAAGATACACGACATAAAGTCAACAGTTTTTTAAGTTTTGAAAACTAATCTATGCAGCTGGTCAGAAAGCTCCCCCCCCCCCCCGATACTTATCTTTATTTTTTTTTTTTAATGTTCTATATCTGATGGCCATTGTAGAACTTGATATTTCACCATATAAAAATAAAAATACTTTTCATGGATAAGCATTACTGTACTTGAAACTTTAAAAAAAAAAAATTTTTTAAGTTTCTAACTGAACCCTTCCTCTGTCTATTGTTCAACAAAGGCTGAAAGAAAAAAATATCTTTCTATCGGAAACATTTTAAAAATTGAATTGTAATACTTACTTAGCAAATCATCGTCTTCATTCTTATCATCCTCCGAGGATACAGAGGGCTTGGCCGACTTCTCATCCATACCTGCCAGCAGCGCGGCAGACTCTACGGTGTTACCGTCTTCCGAGCCAGTCTCTTTGGACAGCGAACTCGTGGCCGCATCAGCACCTACAGAGTGGGAGCAGAGTTGTAGCTTACCGCAAAATACTACCGCAATGGTTACATTACACAAGGAAGCTGTGTTGAGTTTGAGTAATAAAGAGATGCACACCAACATCGTCATAAAGCGCAAGCGAAAAGCGAAACAGACATGAAATAACATCAAGCAGCTACTCCAGAATAGGGAAAGGGGGAACGTGTTTGTTCGAGGCCAATACCCTGATCCTGGGTGAGAAAAGCAATGATGATGATGATGAAAAGCAAAATAGACAGACTGAAATAGCATACTAAATGAAAGAAGTTGGACCTATGAGTAGAGCCTGTCAACTACTAATAAAAAAGTTGGAAGGGGTAAGAGACATCACCGAGAAAGAAGAAGAGGAAATAGACCACATACATTGAAAGGACGTATGTTTAAAAAGAAGGATAAGTGTGTGTGATGATCTCCCTCCAGCACTCACCGGCAAACAGGTCATCATCTGCTCCTGGCCTCCCTGCAGACAAATCACCCGTATTTCCAGCCACACCTGCTGCGTGCTGTGGAACTTGCTGTTGCTGTTGCTGTTGTTGCTGCTGCTGCTGTTGTTGTTGTTGTTGTTGTTGTTGTTGTTGCTGCTGTTGTTGCTGCTGCTGCTGCTGCTGCACACTTTGCTGCTGCGCTAGCGCCTCGGCTGCATCTCCGGGCTGTGGGAACATGGGCGGCAGACCTCCCATTTGCTGCTGTGGTGAGGTTAGCGGCCCGGTTGGAG